TGTGCCAACTGTAAAATTCTAAACTCTGTCTTCCACTGTCCGACTTTAACCCATCTTCCTTCACCTCTCTCAATGTCCTTCTCACACTCTTCTTGCTCCATGACCTCATAAAGATGTCCGATGAGTCAACTTTTTTCTTTTTCTTCAGTGTATCTGTCCCTCTGGTCTTACTTCCTTCTTTATATGTGACCGTATGCTCAATCACCTCAACCATTTTCTCAAGAGCACTAGAAATTTCTTTGCTACTTTTTCTATCTTCTGAATCTAGCTTCAAATTCCAAAATGCACATCAGCCTGATCATCATCTTCTCTATTCCTACATCAGAATAACTTCCAATACCATCATGCCTCGCTTAACGAAAGGGATACTTCAGAGAAATGAATTGTTAGGCAATTTCATCATTGTGCAAACATTATAGAGTGTACTTACACAAACCTAGATGGTATAGCCTATGACATACCTAGGCTATATGGTACTAATCTTATGAGGCCACCATCATATATGCGGTCGGTCACTGACCAAACGTTGTTCTGCGGCTCATGACTGGATGCATTTGAATGTCGTTACAAATGAAAGCTGGGCCCTCAGTTCTTCCTGACTATCCCTTCATGCATTGTTAGTCAGGTATTTTTCCCAATTCCATGTACTTATTCTAAACAGTCACACTTCCTATCGGTCATCTCTTTCTGAGATATTTCACCAACCTCTCAAACCCAGGTGGTCTAAAAGTAAACTCAGTATCTTCCTCCTGCTATATTCCCTATCTCAGTGAATATTGTGGATTCCCAGAATCTGAAATCAACTACTGAAGGGTCATTCCCAACTCTTCTTTCTTCCTCATTCTCCAAATTCAATAAAACACCAAGTACTCCCAACTTTTTCATCCCACAACCTTCATCCTTCCCACCTGGACGATTGTCCTAACTTTGCAATAGGCCTTTTTTTTCATTTCAACCTCATCATGTTGCCCTCTGCCTGGATTTTAACCCAAACAGTCTGACTCCAGTACGCACCTACTTAACCACTCTGCTATACTACACTGGAAAGCCTTCATGTTTTCACATTTTTGTGACTTCCATCACAATGCAGTCCCAGAAGTTTTAGAAAACTTCTGTAATATGGCAGTGTCTGCAGATTTCAGAGCCCTGCATTTTAGAAGTTTGCCAAGGAGAAGACACGGACTTTTCAATATCGTAGTTGTCCTAATTGCTCAACTGTCTAGGAGGCAGGTAACACATCCATCACACTGTTGTACAGCTTTCCACTTGGCTTTGACTCCATGGGTGGTAATCACAAAGGCACATTCAGCAATCTCACAAAGTCACAGAACATTCATGCAAAAAATGTCTAATTCTCAAACTTTATGTGCTAAACAATAGAAACCGTGAAACGTTTAGCTCATCAACTTTACTATCTTGAGACATAACCTGCGCTACCAGACTCATCTTTCTGCAACTACCTAAATTATTCATTATATTTCAATTACTCAGAGAAAAAAACTTGCAAATAGAATCTTCATCTAGAAACTTCAAAAAAGGACTTTACTTGAAGCAAAATAAGGAAGAAAAAGGAAAGATCCAAATCCCAACAGGACACAAGTTGATAACAAAGCTGAACCAACAACATGCTTCCAGAGCCAAATTAACTCCATGAAAATAGCACCTAGACTCATCCTAACCATGACCCTAAATCCAGAAGAAATTACTGAAGAAATTGATAAACTGGACTACATTAAACATGAAAATCAAATACCATAAGCAAAGTCATCAATTCGAATATTGGGTATATACTGTGGATTGCCATACCACAAGTTGACTAAACGTGCCCTCCAGAAGGATACCACTGGGACCTAATTGCCAAATCAACAGTCCTTCAATCTCCTTTCTCCTTCATCTGGCTCTGCAGACCACCCCACCTTATCTGGGTTCTCTTCTCCCGTAGCTTCCATGATCCTTCTTCCCTCTTCCACACTTCCAGGTGCCCTCCTTCTTACCAGGATTTGCTGGCTCTTCTTCCCAGCACCTAAAGTGGCCATCGCCAAAAGTTCAAGTTTAGACCTTCTGCTCATTTCTTTCTAAATCCCTTCCCTTAGAGATCCTAAATATCCTGAAGTCTGTTGGTCTCATCTCTCTCCTGAACTGTAGTCCTGTGATTCTAACCGTTCAAAGATAGTTTTACATTAATATCCTGGTATTACTCCAAAGTCACATCTTAAACCAAACTAATCTTCTCCTCAAAACTTGACACAGCTACTCTTTCATTGTGCCCTCACACACATGCACGAGTGAGCACACAGACAAAAACACTCACATCAGACTGTTAGAACACCTCTCTGCATTCCTCAAAACCATGTCCATGCCTCAACTGTAGCCCAGACTACCCTGTACTGGATTACAATCTCCGACTCATGGGTATGTCTATTTGCCTCTCCAAGTAAATTTTAAACTCCTTGAGAGGCAGGAATTACATCTTAGTCATCTATGTATCCCCAGGAAATATTGCAGGCACTCAATAAAATCTGTTAAGAGAAATTTATAAATATGGACGATCTGTTCCAGCCAAACTTGTCCATTCAGAGTCTCCACCTGCTTGGCATTTTCACAGTCCCCACTTCCCCACTTCTCTGCTGCTGCACACATGGAAAAATCCTACTCATCCTTCACAAGACTCAGCTTAAATTCCACCTGCACCATGAAACTTGGGCAGGTGACCCTATTCCAACAAGACTCCTTGCTCATCAGTCTTACAGCAGCAGCTCAGTGTCATGAAAATAGCATCATCTTTGAAGCAAATGGGCCTGAATCAAAACCAGGCTCTAGCATAAACCAGCTGTCTCACTCTGGGGAACTTCTTAAAGCTTTCTAAAGCTTAATTTCTTTAAGCTATAAAATGAGGTAAATAATACCTGTCACAGGGAATTGGGAGGAAGATTAAAGGAGAGTAAACCAACTAGAACATAGTAGATGTTCAGGAAATGTTAACTCCTTCTCCCCGCCCCACCCCCCTCTCACTTCATTTACTATTTGCACAGCATAGCACTTAAGTTGACAGCTTATGTTCAGAATCCTCAAGTACCGGAACAACTGGTGAGATCCTTAAGGACAGGAGCTGAATCTTGTTCATCTTTCTACCTTCTAAACGCCTATCAATGTGCCTTAAAGAGAGACAAAATAAAAATGGAAAACAAAGAAATTATAGTTTCACTGGAATATGGTAACCAAGTGTAAAAGGTGCCAAGACTAGAATTGACAGTCGTACATTTTCATTCAATTTAGCTGCAGAATTATTCCATGGCACCTCTGTAATGTCACTCACGCCAAAGGCTGATTTCAATAAATGAGAGTGAAAATAAAAACAAATCACTTTCTAGAGTATACAAGTTAATAAGTAATCTTTGATAATAACATCAAAGGTAGCTTAAATGAAATGTGACAGTCAGTATTAGAAGAGTCTCTATACACGTATTTGTTCTCTTGTACTTTTATGCAAATGTTTCCTCTCGCATATTCTTTGAGTTGATATGACCGTAATAGATCTCTTCATACCGTTTGTTAACTAAGTGAAACTAGAGGGAAATTTTTATATTTTCCCACCAGGAGAAGAAATTAAAGGCTAATACTAAAGCAAATCTGGTACGATCAAGATCCAAAATTTGCAACAATTACAGGTAAAACCTATCAAAATCTCTCTGTAAATAAAATGCTTTCTTTCCAAATTGCTGTCGTTAATATCAAGGCTTCAACATGCTCTCTGAACTTAGTATAATCTTGTATTTTCCTTTCCTGATTTATCATAGCCTTTCTTTACTGCATGTTATCTTCATCAAGGTTCAATTCCCATGGTTGCGTTTCGTTTTTCTCTCAACTACCACCCCAGTTGCATGTGCTAACAAGTTGGAGGAGCTGTCATTTGTTGGGTAGTAGCCTCCATTCTAACAATCAACGCTTCGTTAATGCTCCCAACCACATTCCTTTTCCCTGCAGAAGTTATTTCTATAGTTTTCATAAACTGGAATGTGCAGCTACAAACTGAATTTGAAAAGCAATTCCTCATAGAAGAGTGCCTGCCAAATACCCTTTCAATATTTTCATGCTTCCAAGTACTGTTTGTTTTGTATTTTCCCATGTGGAGAAGTTTATGATAAGAAATACAGGAATTCAGTTCTATCACACCAAATCCACCAGAACACATATATATACATTGGTACAGCAAGAAAAAGCAAAAAACCAGGCACCAAAAGACCAAGTTTCTAACCTCAGTTCAACCACCTACTATATCTCTTTAGGCAAAATCATAACGTCTCTCAGCTTCAACTACCTCCTCTATAAACTACAGATAACCACCACCCATATCTCAGCAGCTTGTTTCTGAGATTATAAAATCACAGCATCACAAATAGCACTGTAGAATTGTAAAATGCATGTGGATATATATGTATAAATATAGCTGTGAATGTATTTTTGAACAATAGAAATGTCATAGCCTGTAAGTAGATATAAAATAATTTTATGTCATGTCTTAAGGTCCCAATTAAATACTGCACTATATAAACTGTTACGCCAAATTCTATATCCAAATATATCACAGTATATACAAACAAATTTTTTTGAGAAAAAGAATGTAGCTTGGAAACATATGTTCACAGTCTAGTTCATAATTTTTGAAGTATTAATCCCTAATTTGGATGTCTATTCTTGCAAACAAATTTTTACTCAAAATCATAACATTTAAATTCTCCCTTTTCTATCGAATTTAGTATAAAGAACCTACTGGAGCTTAGTTCTTCATATCTGGGACCAAGAATTTCTGCATTATGGTCTTCACATAAACCTTAAGTACAATGAATTTAAAAGTCAAAAAAACTCCAAGAGAACTTCGTGAGTTTAGATTTTTTTATTTTAAAAAGAATAGCACCATTAAATTAAAGGTTCCTAAATAATTACTCACTTCCAATTTCCCAGGCAAAATATCAATATACTTTCATTCTCCAAATAAATTAAAAGATTCCCTATAAACATACACACATATACTTCCTAAATTGTGCCCTTATGGCTTTAAATTTTTATGTGTGGCAACTTTTAAACACTAATTAAATTGTTTAGCATATGTTTTGTATTTTCATTTTGGCAGCTTACAGTTTTGTACAAGATCCTTATTATAGCATGATTCTGGAAGGCTTCATGCTAACTCTTGTTCTAATTAATTGAAACTGTTTAAAATATACATTTTAAAACAAAAATCTTATTTTAACTATAATTTTGTAGCTAAAATTCTTTTTCCAAATTTTGAGAACGTTCTGTGCTACCTACATAGTGCTGAGAAAAGACAGGATTTTAAGAGTTGCCCAATGGTCTTCAAAAGACGAAAAAACATAATGAAACATACACTCACCTGAACTACACCCATTTTCAATTTCAACATAGCAAACCTCCTGTTTGTTCCTAGGGCAAATTCAAAACCATACCTATTGGAATTGGTGATTACTGAAGAAAACTTATGCAATCATAAGCCAAAGATGCTAAACTGGCAAAAAGAAAATCATGCAAGCAAGCAAACTCCAACACACACGGGACACACCCTGTCAGTATATAAAGGCTTGTCACTGTCCTTGGTAGCAGGCACTCTCTGGGCTAAACAGCATCACCATGTCTGTTCGATACAGCTCACGCAAGCAATACTCTTCCTCCCGCAGTGGAGGCGGAGGAGGAGGGGGATCATCTCTCAGAATTTCAAGCAGCAGAGGCTCCTTTGGTGGAGGATTTAGCTCAGGGGGGTTCAGTGGTGGCTCTTTTAGCCGTGGCAGCTCTGGTGGAGGCTGCTTTGGTGGCTCATCGGGAGGCTATGGAGGAGGATCAGGAGGAGGTTTTGGTGGAGGCAGCTTTGGTGGAGGCTATGGAAGCAGCAGCTTAGGTGGGGGCTTCGGAGGAGGCAGCTTTGGAGGAGGCAGCTTCGGAGGAGGCAGCTTCGGAGGAGGCAGCTTCGTTGGGGGCAGCTTTGGAGGAGGCTTCGGTGGTGGATTTGGAGGAGATGGCGGCCTTCTTTCTGGAAATGAAAAAGTAACCATGCAGAATCTGAACGACCGCCTGGCTTCCTACTTGGACAAAGTTAGGGCTCTGGAAGAATCAAACTATGAGCTGGAAGGCAAAATCAAGGAGTGGTATGAAAAGCATGGCAACGCAGGCCAGCGGGAGCCTCGTGACTACAGCAAATACTACCAAATCATTGAAGATCTTAAAAATCAGGTAAGGGGCATTTTGAAAATCCAACTTTAGGCCTATTTCTCATCAATGTAATCCAGGCGGATGAACTTAAATTGAGCACAGTATAGCTATTCACTGTGTTTGCCTATCTTACTTTATTGCTTCCAAAAATAACCAAGTCTCATCAAAGATATTTGTGAGGCTATGGTCATTGCAATCTTCATCCAACGAGTGTGTTCTTTCGCTTATAGGATGGCAGATTACTGAGAAGGTTTTAGGGCTCAATGAGTGTATAATGAGTCTATAGTTAAAATACACTAGATATTTCAAATACAGTAACTGAAAGAATTATGAAATGAACCAGAACAAAATTTATTCAGATTGATAACAAAAAAATACTCATTGCAAGAAACATGAATTCTCTAGTATGCAAATGGGGTATTGCTTGGCTCTAGCGAATTTGTGAATTGCACCTACTGTGTGCCCGCTCAGAGTGTATTCATTCAGAAGATATATTTATGACAAGTTAAAGCAAAAACACGTACAAGTCAGTCAAAAGTTCGCTGAAATACAGAGAAATCACAAAGTATAAACGGGGGACACACTAGCTGGAACACATCTATATAAGGCCAGTTAGTTTTCAGAAAGGGATGACACGGAAATCAAAGAGTATAGAAACTTCAAGAGAACAAATAACTCAAGTTTCAGTATATGGGTAAGTCTGTCATATTTCATATTTTAAGAAATGCCTCCCAGATTTTCCAAGAGAACAACATAAAAACGCAGTTCAACTATGCATGCCTCTATAAAAGCCAGATCTGTATCTAATTTCTTTGCCTCTCTCTCCAGATCATCAATCTAACCAATGATAATGCCAATGTGGTGCTTCAGATCGACAACGCCAGGCTGGCAGCTGACGACTTCAGGCTGAAGTAAGCTAAGCGAATGTGGTACAATATTGTCCCAACAGATACAGACCTTGTTCTTAACAATGACTTTGCATGCCCACAATAGCATTTACATTTTCCTGAATTCATTCAAAGTCAAACACTATTGGAGTCATCAGAGAAATCCTCCATTTCAATGCTACCTTTTGGGCAATATTAAACGAAGAAAATGCATTTTAAAGTAACCACTAAGCTTCTTTGCATTAAACCACTAACATCCCCATGTGAAATTGTATATGATAAATGTTGCCATGATGGGAAATCAACTCTATACTTACTTTTTAAACAGTCTCTACCTGGGTACGCCTCCAGTATAAGTTATAGCCAGTATTTGGATCATGCTTGTTTCAGGTATGAGAATGAGCTGGCCCTGCGCCAGAGCGTGGAGGCCGACATCAATGGCCTGCGCAGGGTGCTGGACGAGCTGACCTTGACCAAGGCTGACCTAGAGATGCAGATTGAGAGCCTGACTGAAGAGCTCGCCTACCTGAAGAAGAACCATGAGGAGGTGACACAGAAAGTTATACTTTCCCTAGCCAAAACAAAAAGGGCTCATTGTAATCACAGTGCAGTTATTAAATCTTTCTGATCCTCAAACAGGAAATGAGAGACCTCCAAACGTGTCCACTGGTGACGTGAAGTGGAAATGAATGCTGCCCCAGGTGTTGATCTGACCGAACTTCTGAATAACATGAGAAATCAGTATGAACAACTTGCTGAACAGAACCGCAAAGACGCTGAGGCCTGGTTCAATGAAAAGGTCATGATCTTCCTTCCTACTGAAGCCAATGGAGGTTCGTTTGGTTATCATGTCCGATTTTCTTCATCTTTCCCCTGTTTTTAATACTAGAGCCAGGAACTGACTACAGAAATCAACAGTAACATCGAACAAATGTCCAGCCATAAATCTGAGATTACTGAATTGAGACGCACTGTTCAAGGTCTGGAGATTGAACTACAGTCCCAATTGGCCTGGTATGTTAAGAACTGTCTTATAAAATGACTTCGATTTTCTCCTACAAAGTTTCATGCTCACATGAGAATATGCAACCCAACACAAACAAAACGCAGAGTTGGGCAAGAAAAGTAGAAATAAAATTGGAGTTCTTTGTTAACCGGAGAAAAGCATTATTGGCATTGATCTAAAAGTGCTGAAATTGAAATGTTGCCATTAAGCAAAAAAACACATTCTATTCATTTTCTTTATTCTTCTACATGATGTCGTATTAAATTATTGAAAAGCCTCACTGCACTCAACTGAACAAGGAGGTCGCTAAGCCACAATATATTCTCTCCTTTTTTCAGAAACAATCTCTGGAAGCCTCCTTGGCAGAAACGGAAGGCCGCTACTGTGTACAGCTCTCACAGATCCAGGCTCAGATCTCCTCTCTGGAGGAACAACTACAGCAGATTCGAGCAGAAACCGAGTGCCAGAATGCTGAGTACCAACAACTCCTGGATATTAAGATCAGACTGGAGAATGAAATTCAAACCTACCGCAGCCTGCTAGAAGGAGAGGGAAGGTAAATGACAAAAGTGTTTAAAGGATCCCCACTGCTTAGATGCAATATTCCAAATTGCAAGGCTTCTCCAAAACCCGAGGAAGTGCCACAGGATGGGAGAAAGAGGGGAGAAGGGAGGAGGCAGAGCACAGGAAAAGGCCGATGCGACCAGTCTCAACTTCCCACGAATTTGGCCCGAGAACGATCCTTAGGGTTGTGCATACTATACAGAATTGTTTTTAGAGAATTTTTTTAAGAATGGATTTCTAAATTCATAGTTGGCAAGGCTGTCTTTTCTCCCAACAACGTTTTGCTTATTTTCTAAAGCAACAATAATCTGGAAAGCGACCGACCGTCGCCCAACATTAGAGTTAACCGATGCGACACTTACTCCCGGTAGTTCCGGCGGCGGCGGGCGCGCCTATGACGGACGTTCCGGCGACGGCTACGGAGGCGGTTCCGTCGGCGGCTACAGGATCGCCAGGTCCAGCGGCGGCTACGGCGGCGGAAGCTCCAGCGGCGGCTACGGCGGCGGAAGCTCCAGCGGCGGCGGACACGGCGGCAGTTCCGGGGGCGGCCAGGCCGGCGGTTCCAGCGGAGGTCTCGGCGGCAGTTCCGGCGGCGGCTACGGTGGCAGCAGTTCCAGCGGAGGCCACAAGTCCTCGTCTTCCGGGTCCGCTGGCGAGTCCTCATCTAAGGGACCAAGGTCAGCAGAAACTAGCTGGGGTAATCAGAACTAGTTTTGACTTTCTGTGATGGTTTTGTTGCTTTTTCAGCTCTAGAGCAGTTTAAGAAAATTAAACTCTTACAGAAGTTTCCCGCTTGCATGTTTTAATGAGCTGTACTCTTAGACCAATCTGGAAGGGAAAATGGCGTGGTCGAAAATGCTGTAGATTAAACATTGCTGAGGGTTTTTGGTTTTTTAAAGCAAAATTAAAAAATTGAAGTTTCTTTTTTGAAATTTAGTGTATTTTTCTTTTAGAAATTTGCTTGTTAATTAGTAAGGACCCCCACAAATTGCTTGGGTTGAATTCTCGTTTTCTTTTGGGATTTGCATACAGATACTAAGAAAGCCAGTGTAATCAAGACAATTATTGAAGAGGTGGCACCTGACGGTAGAGTCCTTTCATCTATGGTTGAATCAGAAACCAAGAAACACTACTATTAAACCGCATCAAGAGGAAAGAGTCTCCCTTCACACAGGCCATTATGTAAAGGATCATGAGAAACATCTCCTCCAGGAAAACGCTTCAGCCTGGATTTTAACCCAAACAGTCTGACTCCAGTACGCACCTACTTAACCACTCTGCTATACTACACTGGAAAGCCTTCATGTTTTCACATTTTTGTGACTTCCATCACAATGCAGTCCCAGAAGTTTTAGAAAACTTCTGTATATATGGCAGTGTCTGCAGATTTCAGAGCCCTGCATTTTAGAAGTTTGCCAAGGAGAAGACACGGACTTTTCAATATCGTAGTTGTCCTAATTGCTCAACTGTCTAGGAGGCAGGTAACACATCCATCACACTGTTGTACAGCTTTCCACTTGGCTTTGACTCCATGGGTGGTAATCACAAAGGCACATTCAGCAATCTCACAAAGTCACAGAAACATTCATGCAAAAAATGTCTAATTCTCAAACTTTATGTGCTAAACAATAGAAACCGTGAAACGTTTAGCTCATCAACTTTACTATCTTGAGACATAACCTGCGCTACCAGACTCATCTTTCTGCAACTACCTAAATTATTCATTATATTTCAATTACTCAGAGAAAAAAACTTGCAAATAGAATCTTCATCTAGAAACTTCAAAAAGGACTTTACTTGAAGCAAAATAAGGAAGAAAAAGGAAAGATCCAAATCCCAACAGGACACAAGTTGATAACAAAGCTGAACCAACAACATGCTTCCAGAGCCAAATTAACTCCATGGAAAATAGCACCTAGACTCATCCTAACCATGACCCTAAATCCAGAAGAAATTACTGAAGAAATTGATAAACTGGACTACATTAAACATGAAAATCAAATACCATAAGCAAAAGTCATCAATTCGAATATTGGGTATATACTGTGGATTGCCAATACCACAAGTTGACTAAACGTGCCCTCCAGAAGGATACCACTGGGACCTAATTGCCAAATCAACAGTCCTTTCAATCTCCTTTCTCCTTCATTCTGGCTCTGCAGACCACCCCACCTTATCTGGGTTCTCTTTCCCGTAGCTTCCATGATCCTTCTTCCCTCTTCCACACTTCCAGGTGCCCTCCTTCTTACCAGGATTTGCTGGCTCTTCTTCCCAGCACCTAAAGTGGCCATCGCCAAAGTTCAAGTTTAGACCTTCTGCTCATTTCTTTCTAAATCCCTTCCCTTAGAGATCCTAACTATCCTGAAGTCTGTTGGTCTCATCTCTCTCCTGAACTGTAGTCCTGTGATTCTAACCGTTCAAAGATAGTTTTACATTAATATCCTGGTATTACTCCAAAGTCACATCTTAAACCAAACTAATCTTCTCCTCAAAACTTGACACAGCTACTCTTTCATTGTGCCCTCACACACATGCACGAGTGAGCACACAGACAAAAACACTCACATCAGACTGTTAGAACACCTCTCTGCATTCCTCAAAACCATGTCCATGCCTCAACTGTAGCCCAGACTACCCTGTTACTGGATTACAATCTCCGACTCAATGGGTATGTCTATTTGCCTCTCCAAGTAAATTTTAAACTCCTTGAGAGGCAGGAATTACATCTTAGTCATCTATGTATCCCCAGGAAATATTGCAGGCACTCAATAAAATCTGTTAAGAGAAATTTATAAATATGGACGATCTGTTCCAGCCAAACTTGTCCATTCAGAGTCTCCACCTGCTTGGCATTTTCACAGTCCCCACTTCCCCACTTCTCTGCTGCTGCACACATGGAAAAATCCTACTCATCCTTCACAAGACTCAGCTTAAATTCCACCTGCACCATGAAACTTGGGCAGGTGACCCTATTCCAACAAGACTCCTTGCTCATCAGTCTTACAGCAGCAGCTCAGTGTCATGAAAATAGCATCATCTTTGAAGCAAATGGGCCTGAATCAAAACCAGGCTCTAGCATAAACCAGCTGTCTCACTCTGGGGAACTTCTTAAAGCTTTCTAAAGCTTAATTTCTTTAAGCTATAAAATGAGGTAAATAATACCTGTCACAGGGAATTGGGAGGAAGATTAAAGGAGAGTAAACCAACTAGAACATAGTAGATGTTCAGGAAATGTTAACTCCTTCTCCCCGCCCCACCCCCCTCTCACTTCATTTACTATTTGCACAGCATAGCACTTAAGTTGACAGCTTATGTTCAGAATCCTCAAGTACCGGAACAACTGGTGAGATCCTTAAGGACAGGAGCTGAATCTTGTTCATCTTTCTACCTTCTAAACGCCTATCAATGTGCCTTAAAGAGAGACAAAATAAAAATGGAAAACAAAGAAATTATAGTTTCACTGGAATATGGTAACCAAGTGTAAAAGGTGCCAAGACTAGAATTGACAGTCGTACATTTTCATTCAATTTAGCTGCAGAATTATTCCATGGCACCTCTGTAATGTCACTCACGCCAAAGGCTGATTTCAATAAATGAGAGTGAAAATAAAAACAAATCACTTTCTAGAGTATACAAGTTAATAAGTAATCTTTGATAATAACATCAAAGGTAGCTTAAATGAAATGTGACAGTCAGTATTAGAAGAGTCTCTATACACGTATTTGTTCTCTTGTACTTTTATGCAAATGTTTCCTCTCGCATATTCTTTGAGTTGATATGACCGTAATAGATCTCTTCATACCGTTTGTTAACTAAGTGAAACTAGAGGGAAATTTTTATATTTTCCCACCAGGAGAAGAAATTAAAGGCTAATACTAAAGCAAATCTGGTACGATCAAGATCCAAAATTTGCAACAATTACAGGTAAAACCTATCAAAATCTCTCTGTAAATAAAATGCTTTCTTTCCAAATTGCTGTCGTTAATATCAAGGCTTCAACATGCTCTCTGAACTTAGTATAATCTTGTATTTTCCTTTCCTGATTTATCATAGCCTTTCTTTACTGCATGTTATCTTCATCAAGGTTCAATTCCCATGGTTGCGTTTCGTTTTTCTCTCAACTACCACCCCAGTTGCATGTGCTAACAAGTTGGAGGAGCTGTCATTTGTTGGGTAGTAGCCTCCATTCTAACAATCAACGCTTCGTTAATGCTCCCAACCACATTCCTTTTCCCTGCAGAAGTTATTTCTATAGTTTTCATAAACTGGAATGTGCAGCTACAAACTGAATTTGAAAAGCAATTCCTCATAGAAGAGTGCCTGCCAAATACCCTTTCAATATTTTCATGCTTCCAAGTACTGTTTGTTTTGTATTTTCCCATGTGGAGAAGTTTATCATAAGAAATACAGGAATTCAGTTCTATCACACCAAATCCACCAGAACACATATATATACATTGGTACAGCAAGAAAAAGCAAAAAACCAGGCACCAAAAGACCAAGTTTCTAACCTCAGTTCAACCACCTACTATATCTCTTTAGGCAAAATCATAACGTCTCTCAGCTTCAACTACCTCCTCTATAAACTACAGATAACCACCACCCATATCTCAGCAGCTTGTTTCTGAGATTATAAAATCACAGCATCACAAATAGCACTGTAGAATTGTAAAATGCATGTGGATATATATGTATAAATATAGCTGTGAATGTATTTTTGAACAATAGAAATGTCATAGCCTGTAAGTAGATATAAATAATTTTATGTCATGTCTTAAGGTCCCAATTAAATACTGCACTATATAAACTGTTACGCCAAATTCTATATCCAAATATATCACAGTATATACAACAAATTTTTTTGAGAAAAAGAATGTAGCTTGGAAACATATGTTCACAGTCTAGTTCATAATTTTTGAAGTATTAATCCCTAATTTGGATGTCTATTCTTGCAAACAAATTTTTACTCAAAATCATAACATTTAAATTCTCCCTTTTCTATCGAATTTAGTATAAAGAACCTACTGGAGCTTAGTTCTTCATATCTGGGACAAGAATTTCTGCATTATGGTCTTCACATAAACCTTAAGTACAATGAATTTAAAAGTCAAAAAACTCCAAGAGAACTTCGTGAGTTTAGATTTTTTTATTTTAAAAAGAATAGCACCATTAAATTAAAGGTTCCTAAATAATTACTCACTTCCAATTTCCCAGGCAAAATATCAATATACTTTCATTCTCCAAATAAATTAAAAGATTCCCTATAAACATACACACATATACTTCCTAAATTGTGCCCTTATGGCTTTAAATTTTTATGTGTGGCAACTTTTAAACACTAATTAAATTGTTTAGCATATGTTTTGTATTTTCATTTTGGCAGCTTACAGTTTTGTACAAGATCCTTATTATAGCATGATTCTGGAAGGCTTCATGCTAACTCTTGTTCTAATTAATTGAAACTGTTTAAAATATACATTTAAAACAAAAATCTTATTTTAACTATAATTTTGTAGCTAAAATTCTTTTTCCAAATTTTGAGAACGTTCTGTGCTACCTACATAGTGCTGAGAAAAGACAGGATTTTAAGAGTTGCCCAATGGTCTTCAAAAGACGAAAAAACATAATGAAACATACACTCACCTGAACTACACCCATTTTCAATTTCAACATAGCAAACCTCCTGTTTGTTCCTAGGGCAAATTCAAAACCATACCTATTGGAATTGGTGATTACTGAAGAAAACTTATGCAATCATAAGCCAAAGATGCTAAACTGGCAAAAAGAAAATCATGCAAGCAAGCAAACTCCAACACACACGGGACACACCCTGTCAGTATATAAAGGCTTGTCACTGTCCTTGGTAGCAGGCACTCTCTGGGCTAAACAGCATCACCATGTCTGTTCGATACAGCTCACGCAAGCAATACTCTTCCTCCCGCAGTGGAGGCGGAGGAGGAGGGGGATCATCTCTCAGAATTTCAAGCAGCAGAGGCTCCTTTGGTGGAGGATTTAGCTCAGGGGGGTTCAGTGGTGGCTCTTTTAGCCGTGGCAGCTCTGGTGGAGGCTGCTTTGGTGGCTCATCGGGAGGCTATGGAGGAGGATCAGGAGGAGGTTTTTGGTGGAGGCAGCTTTGGTGGAGGCTATGGAAGCAGCAGCTTAGGTGGGGGCTTCGGAGGAGGCAGCTTTGGAGGAGGCAGCTTCGGAGGAGGCAGCTTCGGAGGAGGCAGCTTCGTTGGGGCAGCTTTGGAGGAGGCTTCGGTGGTGGATTTGGAGGAGATGGCGGCCTTCTTTCTGGAAATGAAAAAGTAACCATGCAGAATCTAAGACCGCCTGGCTCCTACTGGAAAACGTGCGAGCTCTGGAAGGAATGCAAATATGAGCTGAAGGAAAATCAAGGGTTGGTATGAAAAATGGACCGGCCAGCGTGGAGCTCGTGACTACAGAATACTACAAACAATTGAAGATCTTAAAAATCAGGTAAGGGGCATTTTGAAAATCCAACTTTAGGCCTATTTCTCATCAATGTAATCCAGGCGGATGAACTTAAATTGAGCACAGTATAGCTATTCACTGTGTTTGCCTATCTTACTTTATTGCTTCCAAAAATAACCAAGTCTCATCAAAGATATTTGTGAGGCTATGGTCATTGCAATCTTCATCCAACGAGTGTGTTCTTTCGCTTATAGGATGGCAGATTACTGAGAAGGTTTTAGGGCTCAATGAGTGTATAATGAGTCTATAGTTAAAATACACTAGATATTTCAAATATAGTAACTGAAAGAATTATGAAATGAACCAGAACAAAATTTATTCAGATTGATAACAAAAAAATACTCATTGCAAGAAACATGAATTCTCTAGTATGCAAATGGGGTATTGCTTGGCTCTAGCGAATTTGTGAATTGCACCTACTGTGTGCCCGCTCAGAGTGTATTCATTCAGAAGATATATTTATGACAAGTTAAAGCAAAAACACGTACAAGTCAGTCAAAAGTTCGCTGAAATACAGAGAAATCACAAAGTATAAACGGGGGACACACTAGCTGGAACACATCTATATAAGGCCAGTTAGTTTTCAGAAAGGGATGACACGGAAATCAAAGAGTATAGAAACTTCAAGAGAACAAATAACTCAAGTTTCAGTATATGGGTAAGTCTGTCATATTTCATATTTTGATAAATGCCTCCCAGATTTTCCAAGAGAACAACATAAAAACGCAGTTCAACTATGCATGCCTCTATAAAAGCCAGATCTGTATCTAATTTCTTTGCCTCTCTCTCCAGATCATCAATCTAACCAATGATAATGCCAATGTGGTGCTTCAGATCGACAACGCCAGGCTGGCAGCTGACGACTTCAGGCTGAAGTAAGCTAAGCGAATGTGGTACAATATTGTCCCAACAGATACAGACCTTGTTCTTAACAATGACTTTGCATGCCCACAATAGCATTTACATTTTCCTGAATTCATTCAAAGTCAAACACTATTGGAGTCATCAGAGAAATCCTCCATTTCAATGCTACCTTTTGGGCAATATTAAAAGAAGAAAATGCATTTTAAAGTAACCACTAAGCTTCTTTGCATTAAACCACTAACATCCCCATGTGAAATTGTATATGATAAATGTTGCCATGATGGGAAATCAACTCTATACTTACTTTTTAAACAGTCTCTACCTGGGTACGCCTCCAGTATAAGTTATAGCCAGTATTTGGATCATGCTTGTTTCAGGTATGAGAATGAGCTGGCCCTGCGCCAGAGCGTGGAGGCCGACATCAATGGCCTGCGCAGGGTGCTGGACGAGCTGACCTTGACCAAGGCTGACCTAGAGATGCAGATTGAGAGCCTGACTGAAGAGCTCGCCTACCTGAAGAAGAACCATGAGGAGGTGACACAGAAAGTTATACTTTCCCTAGCCAAAACAAAAAGGGCTCATTGTAATCACAGTGCAGTTATTAAATCTTTCTGATCCTCAAACAGGAAATGAGAGACCTCCAAAACGTGTCCACTGGTGACGTGAATGTGGAAATGAATGCTGCCCCAGGTGTTGATCTGACCGAACTTCTGAATAACATGAGAAATCAGTATGAACAACTTGCTGAACAGAACCGCAAAGACGCTGAGGCCTGGTTCAATGAAAAGGTCATGCATCTTCCTTCCTACTGAAGCCAATGGAGGTTCGGTTTGGTTATCATGTCCGATTTTCTTCATCTTTCCCCTGTTTTTAATACTCTAGAGCCAGGAACTGACTACAGAAATCAACAGTAACATCGAACAAATGTCCAGCCATAAATCTGAGATTACTGAATTGAGACGCACTGTTCAAGGTCTGGAGATTGAACTACAGTCCCAATTGGCCCTGGTATGTTAAGAACTGTCTTATAAAATGACTTCGATTTTCTCCTACAAAGTTTCATGCTCACATGAGAATATGCAACCCAACACAAAACAAAACGCAGAGTTGGGCTAAGGAAGTAGAAATAAAATTGGAGTTCTTTGTTAACCGGAGAAAAGCATTATTGGCATTGATCTAAAAGTGCTGAAATTGAAATGTTGCCATTAAGCAAAAAAACACCTCTGTCTTCCACTGTCCGACTTTAACCCATCTTCCTTCCCTCTCTCAATGTCCTTCTCACACTCTTCTTGCTCCATGACCTCATAAAGATGTCCGATGAGTCAACTTTTTTCTTTTTCTTCAGTGTATCTGTCCCTCTGGTCTTACTTCCTTCTTTATATGTGACCGTATGCTCAATCACCTCAACCATTTTCTCAAGAGCACTAGAAATTTCTTTGCTACTTTTTCTATCTTCTGAATCTAGCTTCAAATTCCAAAATGCACATCAGCCTGATCATCATCTTCTCTATTCCTACATCAGAATAACTTCCAATACCATCATGCCTCGCTTAACGAAAGGGATACTTCAGAGAAATGAATTGTTAGGCAATTTCATCATTGTGCAAACATTATAGAGTGTACTTACACAAACCTAGAAGGTATAGCCTACGACATACCTAGGCTATATGGTACTAATCTTATGAGGCCACCATCATATATGCGGTCGGTCACTGACCAAACGTTGTTCTGCGGCTCATGACTGGATGCATTTGAATGTCGTTACAAATGAAAGCTGGGCCCTCAGTTCTTTCTGACTATCCCTTTACACATTGTTATTCAGGTATTTTTCCCAATTCCATGTACTTATTCTAAACAGTCACACTTCCTATCAGTCATCTCTTTCTGAGATATTCCACCAACCTCTCAAACCCAGTTGGTCTAAAAGTAAATTCAGTATCATCCTGCTCCTATATTCCCTATCTCAGTTAATACTGTAGGATTTCTAGCATCTGAAATCAACTACCTAAGGGTCATCCCCAACTCTTCTTTCTTTCTCATTCTCCAAATTCAATAAAATACCAAGTCTTCCCAACTTTTTTCATCCCACCACCTTCAGCCTTCCCACCTGGACCATTGTCCTAACCCTGCAATTGGCCTTTTTTCATTTCAACCTGATCATGTTGCCCTCTACCTTTTACTTAGGATTCACTCCAAATTCTTTAGCACAGAAGGCTAAACATGAAACACCACTGTCTGGTCCTGGACATACAATTCTTAAAGATAATAACCATATCTTTTTCATCTCTGCATTTATTTGCCATCATGTCTTCATTTTTGCATTTAGAATTGAACACCAGGCATAGTACCTATACATGTTAAAAAAAGGAATCAGTCAATATTTATGTTATTGTTCAAGGAAATAAATAGATGTTATAATCATGGTAAGACCAGAGAAGTTACCAGTATCATATTTTTTTAAATAACACATTTTTTTGTTCTCATGGGATAAAGTAAGTGTTTCTCCAGTTAATGGTTCTTTATACACCTCTCCGGTAATTAAGACCCTTGTGTAGCTGATGGTACCCTACCACAATCTTACTCAACTTTTTAAACTTTATAATACCCTGTGCCAGATAATGATGGTATATTCCTAGGGTCTAGATGAAAGTAAAGTATTACTCACTCAAAATTAAAAGTTAAAGTAATGAACTTAACATAGAATGAACCCTATTATATTTAAGATAATAAATATCCTGAAGCAACAGCTAGAGATGTCAGATACTAATTTAAAAAAAAAAATCACCCAATTATACATAATTTCAAGCTAATCTGTATGATCCCATTTTTCTTATGGCATGCATAACTCAAATAAGAACACCCCAATAATTGTGTATAAAAGCCCAAAGAAACCAACAGGGTACAATATTCTGTTCTCCTTTGAAGTTACGGCTATCCACAGACAAGGTGAACACTTCTCATATACCATGTCTCTCCGATTTTCTAGTGGGTCCAGGCATATTTGCTTACGGTCTGGATCTGGATCTGTCAGACCATCCAATGGAGGCACAGGCTTTGCAGGCAGCAATGCATGTGGCAGCTCTGTTGCTGGAAGTGGATTTTCCTGTGCCTTGGGAGGGGGTTTGGGCAGTGTTCCTGGGGGGAATCATGCTGGTGGTGTCCTTGGAAGTTCTGCTTGTGCTGGCTTTGCTGGAAGTGAAGGGGGACTCCTCTCTGGGAATGAGAAGGTGACCATGCAGAATCTTAATGACCGCTTGGCATCCTACCTGGATAACGTGCGAGCTCTGGAGGAGGCAAATGCTGAATTAGAGAGAAAAATCAAGGGTTGGTATGAAAAATATGGACCTGGATCTTGCCGTGGACTTGATCGTGACTACAGTGGATATCACTTAACAATTGAAGACCTTAAGAATAAGGTGAGAAATCACAAATTTGGAACTATTCAAAGAATTTAAAACTAAGAATTACCTAGCAAAAGACATAGAACTACAACAGGAAATGCTTCACAGCTGTTATCTGTAATTTATATTGTATTTATTATTTATTTTGATAAATAATTCTTCCTGTTTGTCAAAAATAGGTCCTTTGTTTCATGGATTTCAATGTAGCTTCAATGTTACCATTTCCATTATTGTTTATTTTGAAATGTATTCATTAACAAGAAAGTATTATATTCTAAAAGTTAAATGAGTATATGAGAAAAAATAAAATCATATCTGTAATTTTTAAATTTTAAACATTTTGGTTGTTACTTAAAGAAGTAAGATTTTTACACAGAAGCTTAATTGTGTTTTTATTTCCTGAAATAACAAATTACAAGAGCAGACTTATTTGTTGTGTTCTCCCTTTTGATTTCTTCTAGATTATCTCTTCCACTACTGCTAATGCTAATGTCATCCTGCAGATTGATAATGCCAGACTGGCTGCTGATGATTTCCGGCTAAAGTAAGTGATAGAAAACAATCATGTTCTATAAAAAAGTTTTCATATCTATTTAATTTGATAAATAAAATATCAGTTTTATCCCAAGTTAAATAAACTATAACCTAAAACATTAAAGGAAGTAAAGCAAGTTATAATACTATAATACCATACAATACAAAGCATCTTATAATATCGCAATCAACCGTACACACAATGTGCACATGTTTATTACATTTGGGGGACAAAATACCATTATATTTCTACGACTGCCTAGAATCGTGCCAAGCACAAGGTAGACGCTCATAAATATTTGTCAACTAAGTAAAAATATTAACTAAGGTAAAATTCTAAAATGGTACATTTGTATTTATTGAGATATGCTATTGGAATTTCTGTGACTAAATAGCTGCCAATTATCCTGCACGGAATTGGGTGAAAGAGGTGAAGGAAGACTTTCTTTGTATATTTTTATAATATTTAGAGTCCTAATTCAATTTCTAACTTTCAGTTCAAAGCAGTTGGGTTTTATTTCTCCACCTCCTGAGGTGGTCTCATGCTGAAATTCATTTAACGCCCCCCTAGGTATGAAAATGAGCTCGCCCTTCACCAAAACACAGAGGCTGACATCAACGGGCTCCGGCGAGTCCTGGATGAACTGACTCTCTGCAGGACGGACCAGGAGCTGCGGTACGAATCTCTGAGCGAAGAGATGACCTATCTCAAGAAGAACCATGAAGAGGTAGGAGAAGCTTTACTTCCAGGCAAACCACAAATTTGTACATTTTAAATACTTTTGGGGGCATTAAATTACAATAGCAATTTGCACTCATTATAATCATTCAAACAAAGCCAGAGCATATTAAAAAAAAGAATTTCATTCCTCCCACTCTACTCTTCTAATCTCATCCCCTGAGGTACTGAATATTAACAATTTGATCTGTATCCTTCCATTTTTTAGGCTGATACAATATTCTATCCTCCTGAAAATAATACATTAGTTTTGCACTAATACAACCATCTATCTTTCCACTAGATTATTTCTTTCATTCATATATGCCTATTCTGAGGCTAACCTTCTCACAAAGGACGTCTCTGATTAAGAAAAAATGTCAATGTTTTCTCCATTTAATGAGCCTGGGTTTTCTTTAATGTTGAAATCTGCACAAAAATAAATCCATTGCTTGACACATAATACCAGATAACTTCAACCCCTTAAAAAATTATTACCCCAAAAGTAACTGCAAAAGTCTCCAAAACAATGGATGACAAATTTTCAGAAAACACCTATGACAAAAAGTGCTTCATCATTCGTTATAAATTCCTGAAACACCAAATCTACTTGCCCCAAATGAGAAAATTATGGGAGAGGGGAAGAGAAGGAAAATTGGAAGGGAAAAATTAAAATAAAGGAGAAACAGGGAGAGGGAAGAGAGTCACAGAGCAGAGTGCTGGAAGAGACAGGCCACCAGAGGGTATTGGCAGGAGAGTGACAAGCAGACCCATGCATTGCAGACAGTATGACACCAAGATAAGAAAGAGTCTCAGAAGAAAAGAAATTGCAATTACAGCAGCCCAGCCAGGCTAGAGTCAGGATCAAAGCAGCATTCGTTGTCCCCATAAAGCCACACTAACCAAAAAGAAGGTAGCTCTGAATGCACTGAGGGTAGGAACAAAGAGTCACCACATCTCAACATCTCCTGAGAGTGTCCTATTTACCACATTCACCAGTGACCAATGCCCCTAAAATAACTGCAAGCAATTCCATTTACAAACCTTTATAACAAGAAGAATTTTTCTTCACATGGAGTCTTACATAAAATCCAAAAATATGGAAATAATTTAAAGTAATCAGTGGTTTCCTTGCACAATGTAAATCTTTTGCTCTGATGGATACTGGCAAACCACTTGATCTAAGGTCATACAAAGATAGCTTAAGAAAGCAGAAGTACCTTCTGCAATCCATCAAAAGCAGTTGAAAAACGAAAAAGCTCAGCTACTTAAAGAACCAAGTTCAGGACATTGATAGGCTGATTTGTCCAGAAATCCATTCTCTGATTAGATCTGACTATTCAATGATTCGAACCTGGGGCATATCCTAGAACAGAGAGGCCAGAGAGTATAGTTGCTAAGAGCAGACACTCTGGAGTCAGGGTACCCACAATGTTCAAATCCAGGAGTGTTCATACCTCAGTCCTTTCAAGTACTAAGTATCTTGGGTGAGTTACTTTACCTCTCTATGCCTCGGTTTCCTAATCTGCAAAATAAGTCTAATAATAGTACCTACCAGAGAGATGTGAAAAAACTCCAATGAGTTAATGCATGTGAACTGTTTACAACAGTGCCTGGCATATGACAAGTACTCACTAAATGATAACTGTTGTCCCTAAGATGAGAGCTGCATGACAACAGGGATTTTTGTTTGTTTTTTCCCATGCTCTATTCCCATCAATAAGAATGCTGCCTGACATTTAGTCAATAATTATGTGCTTCATAACTCTCTGGTCTCTGTAACCCCTTCTCACTTGAAAGAAGAAAACACTTCTCTTGAGATGCTGTGACCGTTTTTGTTGTGGTGTTGTTTGTGGTTGTTTTAATTAACAAATAACTAATTAAATTGATGATTGGCATGACTATGGATCAAATAAGTCAATTTAAAAATCGTGTGCCTTAAATTATACACTGGAATTTGAACCACAAACTTTGAGACATAAAGTAACCCCTGGGAACACTCGTCCCGGACTGCAGGTGATCGTAAACTGCCCCTAAGGTCACGCTCACGTTTCCCTCCAGGAGATGAAGGCCCTGCAGTGCGCGGCTGGAGGCAACGTGAACGTGGAGATGAACGCGGCGCCCGGCGTGGACCTCACGGTTCTGCTGAACAACATGCGGGCCGAGTACGAAGACCTTGCCGAGCAGAACCGCAGGGACGCGGAGGCCTGGTTCAACGAGAAGGTGAGGGCAGCGCGAGCAGCCCTGCCCACACCAGCCCGGGGGGTACAGGCCCGTTTAACCCCTTTGACCCCACCTTCCAGAGCGCCACGCTGCAGCAGCAGATCTCCGATGACGCGGGCGCGGCCACCTCGGCCAGGAACGAGCTGACGGAGATGAAGCGCAGCCTGCAGACCCTGGAGATCGAGCTGCAGTCCCTCCTGGCGATGGTAGGTGAGAGCGCCGGTCAGCCTGGACTTTGTGATTCCACGAAGTCCACCTGAAACCCTTGCCTTCTTCCTTGTTATGGCTTTACCCACAAATACCTAAGAGCAGAAGAGAGCAGGAAAGACAGACACTGAGGCACTCAGAAAGAGACACAGACAGAGCATTGCTTCCTCCCTAAGGTCACTGAGAATTTCCTTCCTGGTCGGTGCTCAGTGCTCATTTCATAAAATTGTTTCTTCCTTGGTGTTGTTCGTCTCAGCCCCACAGAGCTAGCAGCAGCAGTTGTGCTGCACCTGAAAATCAAGCAGCACCCTACAGTCATGCGGCCATCCAGGGCAGAGCTAAGGTCACCAGCACCTCCTACTGTTGATGAAGCCCTGTTAAATTGAATCCTAGTATTGATGAAGGCCTATTCAAAGCCACATTGTGTTTTTCATCAGGCAGAGGAAAAGAGGGTACACATCTGATTCCATATGAGCACCATCGGGCTCTTCAGACCCACAGTGTCCGGGGCAGAGGTCCCATTCCAACACACCTCGCAGAGCTGGGCATTCAGGCACCCTGGCACCCACCCCAGTGACTTCAGAGGTTACCATGGAGAAAACTCAGGACTAAAACTGGCTTCCCTTCTGGGGTGGAGAGCTATGGCACCAATGTGGCCAAAGGGTTCCCTGTCTTCATCAGAGGTTTCACACTCTCCAAGGTCACCATGTTGTAACACAAAGGAAAGGGCTGCTCTGACACAAATGAGTGCAGAAGGAACGGAGGACTCAAAACAATAGGAAGATTATTTTGATTTAGCCCACTTAAAAAGTTGAGCTGCTTTCTTACCTTATTGTATTCAGCTTGGAGACTTGTTTTCACCACTGACCAACCCAACTTAACCAGCATGCCCCTCTTCTCCTCCCCCTCGTCACCTCCTCGCTGCTGGCTGGTACCAGAGACCTTCCCTGCTGCTTTGGGCTCCTAGAAACCTCCTCTCTTCCCCACTCCCTTCTTTCCTGCAACAAGACCCCTGAGGACCTGTTCCCGCTGCTGTACCCCTGAGTATGAATCCTCCCTCTCATTTCTGAGCTATGTTGAAGGAAATAAATTCCTGAGTTCCCAGAACAGAATTGTAAGCATTTTCACATGGAAGCAATGGTGCTAGAAAGTAATGAGATTCTGCGAAGCCAGAAGTACTATAGTTTGGGCTCATGAGAAAATCCATAAAAAGCCCATTTTAACACAAGATAACTGAATAGAATAACGGTAGCATAGAACTCAACTGCCATACCTGAGCTTCTTTTGTCATAAGACGAATTCTAAGCGTGATCTTCCATAATTTAGTACACAAATCACCTGTAAGTTGGGAGTTGTCTAAATATATAAATGTTTCACACGCTTCCTGTAATACACAAACTTCCAGGTTCATCTTGTCCTCCTTTCTCATCTACAAGCCAAGCTTTACAGCAGAAGGCTGTGAGGTAGAGATGCTGTCCCCTCTGATTTAGGAGAGTATTAGCAACCCTAAGAAGGAACGCCACATGAGGGTACATCATCAGGGAAATTAAAGGTTCGAACAGCCAAGCACACATCTCACTGACATCTTGTGACTTGTTGCTTCACCCTCCGCATTACCATCCTGATCACCTTCCACACTCCTCTGCCCCTGGAGTGGGCCTGCCCAGCACCACCCACGCAATGCATCTGTCAGCCTATGTGTCCAAGTCCATGGTTCTTAGCCCCAATACAACCAATGTCTGCGTGTTATGATCACTATTTTATAACTCCCTTTTCACAATCCTAGAATGAAGCCAATAGATAATATATTGAGCAACAAACAAAAATTTTTTAAAAACCCGTCTAATGCCATAACTGCAATAAAAAGGAAAAATATAAGTGTTTTAAAATAAAATATATTTAAAATGTAAATACTCAGGGCCAACTACCCTGGAACATGTAATAAAAGAGTCAGAGGCTTACATCTTCCTTTGATAAATGTTCTATTTTTAATAATGTAAGATCAGGAGTTGCCCCACACAAGAAAAAAAGGAAAATGAGAGACTGGAAGTGGGGGTGGACGATCAGATAATAACTAATATCAGGAGAAGTAATAACCACCCAGATGTATTTATGTATCATAAAGGGAAGAGGAAAATTACTTTAATTGAAGGAGGGATCCTCTGACAAGACAAATTACACACTATGGAAGTAGGAATGAGGAGGTGTAATGTTCATAAGAGTAGTGTTGAAATAATGACCTGTACTGTGTTATGAAATTTATTTCTTGCCTTGAAATCCCACCCCTGTGAAGGCATTCATTCAATCTCAAATGCTTAATGAACGGCCTTTGATGACAGAAAATCGAGGACAGATTAGAAAAAAGAAACAGCAGCACAAAAGGCCTTGGAATAGTGGTGAGACAGATCTCTGGTCTCTGGAGACAGAAGCAGAATAATACTGAAAACAGCAGCCAGCCCAGAAGGAGATATGTAATTTCAAAAAAACTAATTTCCAATATTGATTTCTTATTGTGCTACCCAAAAAAAAGTGTTTTAATATATAGGTTGGCCATCATATGAAATATTATCTAAATATCATGACTATCCATTGGAACAGTCAAAAGTCTCATGGGAAAGGGTCATTTATCCCGTCACCCCCCAGGCCTGGCCTCCACCCAGTAAATGCCCGTCACTTCCCCTTCCTCACCACCTCCCGTTTTATTGTGATGAGCCCCACAAATTTTCTAAACTCGCCTACGGAGCAGTACTGCCATTTGCTGAGAAACACTGGTCTACACAGTCCTCAAAATGGTTTCATCCCTTGCTCCTTTTTATCTTGCATCTTTTCCGTCCTCAGAAACACTCCCTGGAGTGCTCCCTGACAGAGACGGAAGGCAACTACTGTGCTCAGCTCGCCCAGATCCAGGCTCAGATCGGGGCCCTGGAGGAGCAGCTGCACCAGGTCAGAACCGAGACGGAGGGCCAGAAGCTGGAGTACGAGCAGCTCCTGGACATCAAGGTCCACCTGGAAAAAGAAATCGAGACCTACTGCCGCCTGATAGATGGAGATGGAAAGTAAGTAACACCATTTGAAAATCCAGTTTTTACCTATTTTAAACCACAACCATATACTGCCCACTTACCTTCCATGCCTCCAAGCCTTTTCTTCTTCATTCCCACTGCAGAAAGGCATGCCCATCTCTTGCCTCTGCAGTCATCTCTTCTGTATTTTGTACCTCACAGCCTCTTCCTCATCTGCCTTGGATGACCCCAGCCGTCCCTGAAGAACCACCATTAGTTGTCCATGTTAATCACTGTGGGTTTCAAGATTCTCTCCACCCCACCCCTCAGTTCACTCCTAATATCACTGCTGCCCTGAAATAAATGTCCTCTGTACAAAATCCCGGGATCTATATGTAAAACAATTTCACTACAGCAGCCCAGGTTCACAGGTTCAGATCCAGGCATGGACCTACACCACTCACCGGCCATGCTGTGGTGGTGACCCACATACAAAATAGAGGAGGATTGGCACAGAGGTTAGCTCAGGGCAAATTTTCCTCAGCAAAAAAAAAAAAAAAAAAAATCAAATGGAAACAAGGTTGTTTTATATCCTCTTTAGATAACATTTAATTACTTCCAGCTCCTGCACAAAAATTTTTTATTTTCCTTTATAGAAAACTAAGGTCTGCTTTTGGCATACAACATTCACTTGAGTTTATGTTCATCTGTTGATTCAATGAATATTTATTAAGTGATAAGCAGAAATATTAAAGAATAAGCTGTTTTTTGTTTTACAGCTCATGCTCTAAATCAAAGGGCTTTGGATCAGGAAGCTCAGGGAATTCATCTAAAGGTAATGAAATCTAGTTCTATTTCTATTGCAGCAAATGCTCTTACATTAATGGCAGTTATACACTATGGCAACAGTCTATGTTTAAGTAATTTTAACTAAAGTGCTCTGAATTTAAAGTATTATTTTGAATGGATAAAACTATCCCAAACTATTATTATAAACCTATGCTTACTCCCTCAGCAAAAATGTACATGATATATTGTATTAACAGCCAACAGTGGAATTCTTTGTCATGTAATCCTTTAGGTTGAATATGTGCATTCACATATGTTTTATTTCTAGATTTATCCAAAGCCACACTGGTAAAGACGGTGGTTGAAGAGATAGATCAACGTGGTAAAGTTCTTTCATCGAGGGTTCAGTCCATTGAAGAAAAGAGATCTAAAATGGCCAATGGCAAGACAGAGCAAAGGGTTTCTTTCTAGCTGTCATTACTGAGAAAAGAATAATTTGGGAAGGGATCCCACACAGCTGTATTGTTCTAAATAGCAAAGAGATAATAAAAACCCTCTCTACCCTTAAAGATAAGTTACTTAGAAAAAATACTTGTTTTCTTAACTTTACAGGATGTTGGGTGTTTGTTTTCAAATAAATAAAAAAGTTGATGTGCATTCATTTCCATTCACTCATGACTAATAATTGAGGTTTTTTTCTGTGTCTAATTCATAGGGAGACATTTGTGAAATATATTCTAATTGCCTTCCACTCTAGTTTTAAATAGTAGTCAATACCACATGACATTTAAATATTAAATCTCACCACTTTTGCATGGGCAAAAATAATCTGTAAAAAATTCAGAAATTTCCCTGTGATTGAAAAGTCCCACCACTAGATGGTGCATTCATGGTATTTTCACCCGTGAGCCTATCTCAGACTCTTCTGGAGGTATGGGTACTTCCCAGGAAACCATTTCCCATATAATCAGGATTATCTCTGGAAAGATCCACGGCAATGAGCCTCGTGCTAATGACGTTTTTCCTAGAGCAGAGATCGGCAAACTTTTTCTGTCGGGGCCCAGATAGTAAATATTTCAGGTTTTGCAGGCCATAAGGTCTCTTACTTTAACTACTCAGCTCAGCCATTGTAGCAGAAGGCAGCCATAGACAATAGATAGACAAATTGAGCATCACTGTGTTTCAATAAAACATTATTTACAGACACTGACATTTGAACTGCAAATAATTTTGACATGTCATGAAATATTCCTCTTTGGGGTTTTTTTTCCCCAACCATTTAAAAATGTAAAAAGCATTCTTAGCTCATGGGCTGTACAGTAACAAGTGGCAGACCACATTCAACCTGTCTAGAACATACCTGTTCTAGAACTTCAACTCTCATGCAGCTGATGAACAGTTCAGTTATTATGTCTTTCTATGTTTCTGGATCAAAATGTATGGTAGAGATTCCCAACACATATTGAATTCCCTAAAAGGAGAGCAGCTCTCATATTTTTCTAATATGTGGCCTGATTCTAATGACAAGCTCCAGTCAGGGCAAGAATTCTACCCAACAACCCAACAGTCAGGTGGGAGTTAAAGAAGTGGCACAGAATGGGAAATTTATAAAATCTTGAGCGAAAAGTCACCAAATGAAGCAAATACTAGAAATTCATGGGCAAGTAACTTCCCAAATGTACAGTGTAGAGGGCTAGCTACATGATTTGCAGAGCTCAGTGTAAGATGAAAATGTGAAGCCCCTTATAATTCCCTATAATCAGGGAAAAAGTATCATTAAAGGCACTAAAATGGGCCAGCCCCATGGCCAAGTGGTTGAGTTCGTGAGCTTTCACTGGTTCAGATCCTGGGCACAGACATGGCACCACTCATCAGGCCATGCTGAGGTGGCACCCCACATAGCACAACCAGAAGGACCACAACTAAAATATACAACTATGTACTGGGGCTCTTTGGGGAGAAGAAGAAGAAGAAAAGATTGGTAACAGATGTTAGCTCAGGGCCCATATTTAGAGAAAAAAAAGGCACTAAAATATAAAGTTTTTCCTTTCTTCAGCAATCTTACTCTTGACTTGTCATGTTTTTCTAATTTACCATTTAATGTCATCCTAAATAAATAAGAATTAAAATTTTAAGTTATTGGCATAAATTTTTTCTTCTTCTTCTCCCCAAAGCCCCCAGTACATAGCTGTATATTCTAGTTGTGAGTGCCTCTGGTTGTGTTATGTGGGATGCCACCTCAGCATGGTCTGATGAGCAGTGCCATGTCCACGGCCAGGATCCAAACTGGCAAAACCCTGGGCCACCAAAGCAGAGCATGCGAACTTAACCAGTCGGCCACAGGGCCAGCCCCAATATTGGCATAAATTTTACTATTCATTTTTATATTGTGCAATGCCAATTCTATATACAAATATAAGAATATTTAACTTGTATAGAGAATCACTGAAATTACACAATTCATATTTTGTAGTTCATACATGCATATGTATTTTGTTCTTACCAAAACAGTGGAAACAAACTCAACTCATTTTTATTTCACTTCTTTGTGCGCTCACATTCTACCAACACTCTCCACCACTGGTTTACTGATGAGTAAGAAAAGACAAGAAAAGGAACTGTGGGTTGCCCTTTCTTTCTACATCATTGTTTTTAGCCTAAGTGGTTGACTAATAACATGAATGTAACTCAAGTGTATGATAGAGTTCCTGTATCGTTCGTGTTTCTTAGAACACCATTGCCTTCTTTCTGCATTCGAAGCAAGTTCTGTTTGAGTGGAAAACCTGGCCTCTTGGGGTTGTCAGAGACCCTGCTTACTCAGTCGTAAACATTACACAGTTACCTTATACTCGCTTTGAGTCTCACTGAACTCTGATGCATCGTGGGCCCACCAGGAGGACGTGCACATGGGCACTGCGTATGCTCCATGCGATTGTGGTAAGGAACTGCAGACGAGCACATTTTGAACACTCTTCTGCTCCCTTGTGTGCCCCATTGTCCCGTCAGACTCCACGTACAAGACACAAGTTCAAAGATAAAATTATTAAAAATATCAAGATGGCAAGAAGAGCATTATAACAAGTGTGGGGTCCTTCTGAACATGAGACCTTGTGCAACTGCCCAGGTTTCATGCCCGTGAAGCCAGCCCTGCTTATCAGGTGTGCTCAGAACACAGGGATCTTTAAAAACACTGTCTTCCCGGTGATCTGCTTCCCATGGCAAGAACACTGGAGTTCAGGGAGTACATATTGCTCTTTGTGGTAAGGGTACTATTGATGTGAAAAGATTAAAAAGGAAAACAAACCATTCTAATTCAGCATTTCTTGCCAAAGAAATAAACCAGAATTCCCTGTGTACTCTATGTATCTATTTAGCAAAGGAATGGATGTAAAGTTAAATTCTGGGTGCATTTCCTTTACATTCTGTTGAGTTCACAGGATGGAAGGAAACATCCCATCCTCAGGCCATAGAGTCTTGAATCTCTCCTTCCTTCCTAGTGTGGGAATCGACCTTGGCCTTTAGGTCTGTTACTTTCCTTTGCTTGGTAGAATTATCTAGGGCTCCTGAGTTCTTTAGGAGTTCTGCTAATTGATTATGTGTCCTTCTCCAATTCTTGAAGGTTCATGTTGCTTTTTGCTGTGGTGGGTTTCTACACCAGAGGTACTTCGAAGGAATTGGTCTCCACCTAAAGGGAAAGGAGTTCAGAGACCGTACCTGGGTGGTTGTTAAAGTGGAAATCACAAACTGCTATTCCTTCTTTCTGTGTGTGTGTGAGGAAGATTCCCCCTGAGCTAACATCTGTTGCCAATCTTCCTCTTTTTGCTTGAGGAAGATTGTCACTGAGCTAACATTTGTGCCAAGCGTCCTCTATTTTATGTGGGATGCCACCACAGTGTGGCTTGACAAGCAGTACTAGGTTCACACCTGGGACCTGAACCTGTGAACCCCGGGCTGCTGAAGCGGAGCAGATGAACTTAAGAACTATCCCACCAGGCCAGCCCCTATTCCTTCTTTTAACAAACACCCAAGGGGCAGCCCCGTGGCCGAGTGGTTGAGTTTGCATGCTCCACTTCAGCAGCCCAGGGATTCACCTATTCAGATCCTGGGCACTGACACGGCGCCGCTCATCAGGCCGTGCTGAGGCGGCGCCCCGCATAACACAACCAGAGGCACTGACAACTAGAATATATTACTATGTACTGGGGGGCTTTGGGAAGAAGAAGAAAAAAAAAGGAGATTGGCAACAGTTGTTAGCTCAGATGCCAACCATTAAAAAAAAACAAACACCCAAGATTTACGGGAGCTCATTGCAAGGGAAGTAAATTACCACTTGTTATTGGGTGTTGCAGATGTTTCGATATTGCTATTTTTCTTTTGATTTTTTTGTCATCATACAGAAATTCATCATTCATTGTCACATTCATAAAAATTTCCATCATAGATTCTGAGTTTTACATCTGCTGAGAAGTCTTTGTCATTCCAACATTTTAAATACAATTGCCCATGTTTTCTTTTAGTACTTCTGAGAGGCTCATATGATTTTTATGTGACATTTTTATCTGCTGCATGTAATACTGAACTACTCTCATTTTTTATAAGGGACTCCCTTGAAAAATTATATATTACTTAATATACTGTTGAATTGTATTTGTTAATATTTTACTTAAGATTATTCAAGATATTTATTTAAGATTGCTTAAGATTGTCTATTTCCAGAATATATCTTTTCTCTGGGAACTGATTTCCCCTAAACTTCTCATTTCCTGTGATTGCATCTTACTCATTGTAATGATTTTTTTTCTTTTATTTCTAATCCTTTCCTAAGTTCTGTCGCCCCATTTTCTAAGTTTTCCCAATTCTGGTTTACGTTGCTTTTTTTTTTTCCTTCTATCATTTTTAATGCATTTTAGGTCATTTTGAAATGGTAAATTATATCTTAATCTGTTTTGTGGGCATGTCTTTCTGGCACACTTTCATTTTCTAGTAGGATGTAATTCAGATCCTCATTTTCTTATTTTTGTGTATTAACATTTTGTGGGATTCTCTTTTTTTTTTTTTTTTTTTTTTGCTCATTTTTGTAGGTAATTCATGTTCCTTAACTTCTAGATTAAGTATAGCTCCACATAGCTTTTCTAACTTTACAGAGCTCCCTTTTCTCTTGTTGTCATCTAAGGTTCACTGGGCCAGCCCTGGTGGCCTAGTGGTTAAGCTCAGCATGCTCCACTTGGGCAGCCCGGGTTCACTTCCCTGGCCCAGACCTACACCTCTCATCACTGGCCATGCTGTGGCGGCAGCTCACATACAAAAAGAGGAAGATTGGCAACAGATGTTAGCTCAGGGCAAATCTTCCTAAGGGAAAAAAAAAGTATGTTGGCTTGATTTCTGAAAGTTCCTGTCTTTTTTCCCCTCCCCCACCTGTGTCTGGACCATCTCTTTCTTCCTCTCTACTGACCCTATCTGGATCAGTTTTGGTTTCTTTCCATTAGTTTCTCCTCACTGTGGGGGGCTCTTCTGGGAGGGAACCATGGCTCACGGTTTTGAGAATTCACAGGGTCTAGTCTGCTCCATTCCCTTCTGACTGCATGGAAGACTACTTTCACTTGCCTACGACTGGATGGGCAAAACTCTCTCAGTTTCATACGTTTTTCTCAAATTTA